ATTCTGTGTTTTTCTGTCAATATGGGGTGCTGTGTGTACATTAATGAGGAAAAAAAATTAACTTAAATGATTTTAGCAAATGGCTGCAATATAACAAAGAGTGAAAAATTTAAGGGGGTCTGAATACTTTCCGTAACCACTGTATATAATGAAATTCTGATGCTTCTGATGTAAATCAATATAATCTTTATAAAAGTATAGCAGATACTTATATGCAATGATACAAATATCATTCTTCACTCTATATCTCCAATAATATGTCTTAAGATGATATTTAAATGTTTAGTTTGATGATCAAAACACATAATGCAATGAAGTACAATGGTGATTGAAAGATGAACAAATAAACATTCCTCAAAAGCCTGATGATCATATTTGATACTCACTGATTTTTCTAAAAAAAATTGATGTCTGGATAAATAAATAAAGCTAAGCTGTTTCAGTCTAGTTAGAAATATTTCAAGACGAACACTTGCAAAGTCAAATTGTTTTTTCTTTTTCAAAATCTGTAAAGGTTTCACACCAAAAAAAGACGTGAACCACAAGCTGAATGTGAATGTCTGTACAATTATACTACCTGCTAAAAAGTCTAAACTATCAATCAGACGAAAGAAGGCATGTAGTAGATTGTGTGCGAAAGTTTTGATCACGTTGATCATTTAGAGGCCTTAGAAATTCATCATCAAATGTGATACACTTGACTTTATAGGTTTAATTGGCCAAATCTACAGTGCTGCTATTAAAATTCATGTGTCCTGGCACAAGTGTAGATCACAGCATAGAGGACATTATTTGGTACCTTTCCAGATGACAATCCTGCAAATCAACAATCGTGTCATGAACACATACTTAAAGTATCAGTTCACCCAAAACTGAAAGTTCTGTCAACATTCTGTGGAACTCAGCAGATGTTTCACTGGAAATGTTCACTTTCAAATCTCACTCTGTGTGTCGCAATCGCACATCTCAGATAAACCAGCCCTACCCAGAACCATCATGGCCAGGTACAGGCCAGTTCGAAATAACATGCAACTGCTGTGATGTCATGCTGATGCGTGCCAAATAGTGAGCAAACAAAAAGCATGACGGGAAACCACTTGATTGCGACACAGTTTAGGAGCTCAGTGGCTTAGAACCTGATTGTGATTGTGCATTCAGTGTAGACAGTGTGAATGAAGTTGTGTGCCACTACACACTATGCACTAATACTATGCACTATGTACAATCCCAGCTTACAAAAATATGTTCTAAGAATATTTTGTTAACGTTCCCATCAAGTTATGAAAACGTTATTCAGTTCTGAATGTTCTCTGAAACGTCAAAGCATCCAGTTTTTAAATGTTTTAAGAACTCTTTTTTTTTGTTATGCAAACATTAAGGGAACATATTCCATTTTATCATTTTGCAAACATTATGGAAACATTACTTTTGAATGTTCTCTGAAGTAGTAACATTTACCCAGGTAACAAAGTTAGGTTAGAAAAATGTTGTTGAATGTTGAAAATTGTTTTAAAATGTTTCTAAAACGTTGAAATGTCCAGTTTTCTTGTTGTGATTATAATGTTATTTAAAGGTTACAAAAGCATTTCTTACAATGTTCTGCTAACTTTTTCACCCAAAATATAACATTATTTGAATGTTTATTTTTAATATTCTACGAATGTTTTCTTTTAATGTTATGACAATGTATATCAAATATTAATAAATTGTAAGAATGTTTTGTCCTAGCATTATAAAACTTAAAAAAAAAAACATTTAACAATGTTTAAAAAGCTTATGTTTTATTTATTTTATTTTTTTATTTTTATTCGAAATATTTCCAAACGTGTTAACTAGCCTATATCTGGAAATATCTCGATTCTCTAATATGTGTAAGTAAATGCGTTTTGCACCTTTATAGATTATTTTATTTGATCAATGGTGATGGGCAAAGTACACTAATAGTGTAATATATTAACTACACATAAAAACCCGACTTTTTACTTAAGTAGGCTACCAGATATGGGTGTCATGCTATAAAATATTTTTAATACGACATGACTTTGCATTTAATGTGAATTTAATAACAATATTGTAAGTTAATAATTATAACACTTTAATTTTACAGAGAGCAAAGAACATTTTCATTCAGTCTAGCCAGAGGCACTCTCAAAAACTCCCATTAAGGTGATTGGTTATAAGGCTCAGCGCCAGCCAGCAAACGCAGATT